TCACCATGAGTGTGGCTAACCTGGGCTCAGTGCCCAGCACCCCGATGGTCCCCAAGGACTCCCCCTTCCACTGACCCCGAGCACAGGGCAGGATTGAGCCAGCCCCGAGCACTGCCAGGCTGAGGGATTCCCGGAGCGCACCTAGCGGCAGGACGCCGTACAGGGTGATGAGCTGCCTGACGTCCAGCACGGAGGGCATGGGCTCGATGGCCACCTGGCGCAGCGCCGTCCCCAGGTAGCAGTACTCCCCTGCGGAGAGGGGACAGGCTGGGGCCGAGCTCTGCATCCGGGGCAGCGGGAGGGCACGGGAATGAGTGGACAGCAGCGTTGACCAGCGCCCAGCCCCACGCCAAGCCGCGGCCGGCAGAGGGCGAGAGGCCGCAGACGCCCAGCCATGCCCAGGGCCAGCGCCAGCCCCAAAGCAAACTCTTCCCGGAGCGACGGGTGAGGGAGGCCGGGAGCCGCCCCGGCAGGAAGTGGGCGAGCATAATTTAGGGTGAACAGAAGCACCCCCTTCGCGGGGCGAAGCTCATTTCCATTTTATCATTTTTAAGGATTACCAGAGGAATAATGCAGAAATAAATCTCCCCAGGTTTAATTAGGAGGCATCAAAGGCCTTAATTGGAGCCAGCCATAAATCTGAGGTATTATTTTCCAACTAATTTAGATAAGGTCACCAGGAAAATTAGTTTGGCGTCTCCATTTGTCAGGAGGCTGGGCACGCGGGCGGGACTCGCGGCCGGGACCCGAGTCTGCAGGGCGGGTCGGGAGGCCGGGCCGATGCCCCGTCGCCTTCGCTTCTTTTACGAGGATGCCCTGGGGAGCGGGTGAGGGTCTGTCTGGCCTGTCTGTCTGTCACGCATCTGTGAGCGTGTGGAAACTGTGTCAGCCAGACTCAGGTGCCTGTGAAATTCTAGAGCTAGGCAAAGCTTTGAAGGGGTCTCGAGGGGCCTGAGGGGTGTCAGTGCTGAAACCAGAGGAGGAAGAGCCCCGCTTTGTTGGGGGGCCATGCCCCAAAGCCCCCCATGCCAGGAGAAGGGGACGGTGGCCAGATCAGTGGACTGAGGCAGCAGGACAGAACAGGTAGTGGCTTCTGGCAAGTGGGTCACAACATGGACAGTGGTCAGTGTATCTGGACAGACGGGGACAGTGCAGCCCAGCACAGGGGCTTTAGAGGGGACAGGACAATGCCCCCCCATTCCTGCCCATAAAGACCACCCCCCTCCTGTCCCTCTGGGGCTGGGGCGTGGGTGCTGGCCCCAAGGAGCTCCGAGGGGCTCTGCCGATCCCCAGCACGTCCTGGCAGAAGCTGGGGGGGTCCCCTCACTGATGACCGGTGGCGGGAAGTGGCAGGGAAGTCGTCCGAGGGCCCCGGCTGTCCTGGGCAGTGAGGGGCCACGGTGATCAGGGAGCAGCTGGGCTGAGCAGCCAGGAGGCCCTGGGTGAGCTGTCGGGGGCGGGACCCCCACCCTGTCATTCCCGGGACCTCGGGCTCCTGTGTCCTGCTGAAGGACCACAACAGCTCAGGTCAGTCACTTCCAGGTGCTGGGCCTCAGGGCAGGTGGTCAAGGCCAAGGCCGCTCACAACAGCACCGAGGGGTGCGAGCCCCATGCTGGGCCTTGGCGGCTCTGAGGGATTCCAGGTACTTACCACGTTCTCCCCCCCCCCCCCCCCAATATTCACGTCCCTGTGAGACCCCTGCTCCCAGCCGGGCCCAGCGCTGGGGATCTCAGCTGAGAAAACGTGTTTCAGGCAGCCGAGTCTGGGCAGGGGGTCAGTGCTGGGAGCTGGTGGGGTCGAGGATCCGCAGGGATGGGGGCGACGAGGGCCCTTGAATGACCGGACACTGTCCCTCCTCTGCCCAGTCATCTTGCCCTCACCGGCATCTCTGGGTTGCTCACAGAGCCTCCTACATCAGACCCGCGGGGGCCTGGGGCTGAGGGCTGATCCCAGGGTCCCTGGTTTGGGGACGGGCCACCTTCAAGGCTGTGGCCGGTGCCCAGTTGGACGGGACCTGGATGGAGGCAGGACGCCCAGTGGACCACGGCAGGGGCTCTGGGTGCAGACACAGTGGGCAATGGACCCTCTCTCAGGACCCTGCCAGCAGGTGGGCACTGCCCTGAGTATGAAGAACGAGTGAGCGGCCAGTGGGCAGCTTCCTGGGGGAGAGGGATGGGGAATGGTGGCCGTGCTGGGCCCACAGAGGATCTCGTGGGGCCTCCCCACGACTGTCGGCATCACGGCGCCATCTGCCTCCTGGCCAGTCCTGGTGACACTCCCAGATGGGTCTGGCTTCGGCAGGGCTGAGGGTGCGGGGGGTGGACCCAGAGCAGGGGACACATCTGTCCCCCAGGAGCCCTCATCCTGCACACAGCAGCTGAGCCACATGGGCACATGTTATGTGCACGTGTGCACGTGTGTGTGGTGAAGTACCAGGGCACTGAGATGACGCATCTGCCCCAGATACAGGAGGAGGCCCCACTCAGCAACTTCCGGGACAGATCTGTAACTTCTTCCTTCCACGGGGGAGGGTGCCAGGCACTAAGCAAGCAGGGGCAACTGGTCGACCCCTTACGACTCCTCTACCCTGCCATCCGTAAGGACCTGGCACAACCACCCCTGCCACCCACAAGGACCTGGCACGGCCACCCCTGCCGTCCATGAGGACCCAGCATGGCCACCCCTGCTGTCCACGAGGGCCCTGCACGGCCGCCCTCTCTGCCCTGTCAACACACAACCCTGCAACAACAGAACCCACACTCAGCGTCAGGAGCGGGATCTGGAGGTGGTCAAGGCTCGGTGGCCGAGTCTTCAGCACCTGATGGAGGGTTTGCGCTCGCTACCAGAGCATACAGGGGACAGTCCCGCCCCCTGCTGGATGTCACCTCTGGACTCTCTCGCCCCAGTTTGGGAAGGAATCTTTTATGTCTTTTGGCTTTGTGGGTCACACCTGGCGAGGAACAGGGGTTACTCTTGGCTCTGCACTCAGGAATCACTCCTGTTGGTGCTCGGGGGGCCCTATGGGATGCTGGGACTCGAACCCGGGTTGGCCACGTGCAAGGCAAATGCCCTACCCACTGTGCTGTCGCTCCAGCCCCCTGGGAAGGAATCTTAATCAGAGGCACCCGCCATGCTGGGGCCCAGGAATACCTGGCGTGTGTCCACAGAATGTTCCTGGTGGCCTGCTGGAGGGCGTCTGGGGACACAGCCGGGGTCCCTGCAAGTCTGCACTGGAGGCTCAGCGTGAAACACCCTCATTCCACAGCCCGGGCCCAGCTGCTCCTTGGCAGCTGCCCCCCTGTCACTGACTCTGCCATGTGAAAGCACTTCACAGCACCCCCTCCCTTGAGGTCAGGCTGAGCCGCAATCATGGGGGGGGGGGGGCGGCCAGAATGGGGGGTCTGGGGACACAGCGTGGCCCCACCTTGGGAGTCCTGGCGTGCTGGGGAGCGTCCCCGGCAATGGTGGTCCCCGGGGTGGCTGTGCTCTGAGCTCTGGGCTTCCGCCTGCGCCCCCTGTCCTGGGTCTGTCGAACCCCTGGGTCTCTCTCCAGCATCTCTGCCTCCTCCTTCTAAGTCCCCTGAATTGCTCATCTCTGGCCCCTTCCTGAAAGTCGCTCACCATTTCATTTCTCTCGAGGCATCATATTTGTGGAACCTAGCCACGAGAATTTAGTTATGTGATGTAGAATTGATTTCTAATGATGGTTCTCTGATTTTTTTCTCATTTAAAGTTACGCTGTTCTCCGGTGTTGCCCACGGATCTTTGCTGTGCCTCTGGGCTAGTTTCCAGCAATCTGCTAATTCAGCTCCGGTCCCTCCCACCCACCCCACGGACACGCCTTCCCGAGATGCGCCTTCCCCAGACGCCCACTTGTCCCTCACTCTTCACTTTTAGGGTGACAATGTTGGTTCCGCCCCTGACCATTGTCACCGTTTCTGTCCTGGGGATGACGTCTGCCCCGCACGGCTTCCCGCCCTGCCTCTAGCCGAGGGGTTAAGACACGGCACTCACCCGCTCCAGGGTTCTGTGCTGTGGGGGTCCCGGGTGCTCCCCCAGCCGTCACCCCAGACGGGGCATCTGCCAGGGCCAGTGTGCCAGGACCCTCCTCTGTGGGCCGGACACCGCCTCAGCTGCCTCCCACGGGCTGGCACTGTCCACTCAACACAGGCCGTACAGCTCTAGGGGCGGGGTATGGAAACACACACACAGACACACACACAGACACACACAGAGACACACAGACACACACAGACACACACAGACATACACAGACATACACACACAGACACACAGACACACACACAGACACACACAGACATACACAGACATACACACAGACACACACAGACATACACAGACATACACACAGACACACACACAGACACACACACAGACACACACAGACACATACACAGATACACACACAGACACACAGACACACACAAACACACACAGACACACACAGACACATACACAGACACACACAGACACACACAGACATACACACAGGCACAGACACACACAGACACAGACACACAGACACACACAAACATACACAGACACACAGAGACACACAGAGACACCACAGACACACACAGACACACACACAGACACACAGACACACCCCCTTAGCCCGAGCACTCCCCAGCACTCACCGATGTAGTCTGAGAGGTTGACCTTCAGAGACTGTATCAGCAGACCCTCTGCCACCACCTCCCGGTACAGGGACTCCAGGGGCCTGGGGTCGGGGGGGGGGGGTAGAACACATGGCAGCTGAGCCCCGCGCGACCCCCGTCCCACCCCCACGGCTTCCCCACCCATCGCTCTCGCGGATCACAGTGCAAGTAGCCAATAAACCGGCGTTGGAAGCATTTCTACAACTGGGGATCAGTGGAGTGACCCCCCTCACCCCCATCCTGCCTGCGCCTCTGCCGGCTCCCCTGTAGCCAACACCCCTCGCTCTGGGCTCTTCCCGTCCACCCGCCTTGGTGAGGGCAGAGGGGGGCTGGGGCGTGGGCAGGACCCTCTGTGCAACGGGCACTTCCTGGGCTCCCACGGCTGAGGCAGAATGCCCGGGCAGAGCCGGCTGCGGAGGGTGGACGCTGTGTCCAGGCCCCCGGCGGGTCTGCAGGTGGTGTGTCACTTGCCCGCCGTCGTGTTTACGATGCCGAGTCCCCTTCTCGGGGCCGGGCGGGCAGTGAGGCGGCACAGGGCCACTTTGTGCTGGGGTGGGGGTGGGGGGCAGACGGACAGTTTCCCCTAACGAGCGAGGGTGCTTCCCCCCCCCCCCCCCCCGCCCCAGCCCCCCAGGCGGCTCAGTCCTCCCCAGAGACGCTTCCTCCTCTGAGGGGCTTCATGTCTGGGTGCTCCCCTCCTGCTTCCTCAGGTGGGAGGTTTGCAAACAGGCCGATTGAAGCGGCTCTACGATGAGACGGGAATCAAAGGCCGCTGGATACAGTTTCTGATACAGTTTCGGATACTGTTTCCTTCCCTTGGTCACGCCCTGAGGCCCGTGAGTGCCCAAGCTGCAACGAGTCAGGACAGCGGCGCCCTCTGCTGGGCAGTCGGGAGGCAGCAGCGTCCGGCCTGTGAGAGCCCGCGGTGTTTCAGCCTGGGCCCCTCCTGATCTAGCCCCTTTAATTGGGGGAGGTCTCCAAGCGGTGCTCCGGGGGTCCAGGGGCCTCGGTGGCCAACCAGACCCACTGCTGGGGGCCTCCAGGCCTGCACCTGGCCATGCTCAGGGGGCCACGGGGGTCCTGGGATTGAAACTGGGCTGAGGTGTGTAAGGCCCTAACCACTGTGCTATCTCCCTGGCCCTGGGTACCTGTAAATCTAAAAACGTAACACAATTGTCCTAAAGAAGATCACGGATCCTACACACGCAAATACTCGCCTCCAGTTTGTATTAGCTTGATGGGAGAAACAGTGAGCGGATGGCCGGGCCATGCGGGTATAGGCAAGGGCAGGGGGCGTCTTGCTCTCCCCCTGCCCTTCGTACCAGCAACAGTTCTTTTGGCTTAAGAACCACCTGATCCCTGGTACTTATCTCGGCTATTCTTGGGTGTCAGTCTCCTATTTTGTTATTTTATATTCCCCAGTACCAGGAGGTTCACTCCACGGCTTGGAGGCCAGCCGCACACGCTCGGGGAAAGGGCAGCTCAGATAGAGAAGGGAGCACCAAGTCAAGGGTGTTGGGAGGATCCTCCCAGGATGCATGCTGAAAGTAAACTATAGACTGAATATGATTGCCATTCAAGGCCTCTTTTGCAAGCCACAACACCCAAAAGGAGAGAGAGAACAAAACGGAATGGCCTGCCACAAGGGCGGGGGAGGGGATGGGGAGGGTGGGAGGGGTACCAGGATCTGTGGTGGTGGAGAATGGGCACTGGTGGAGGGATGGGTACTCGATCATTGTATAACTGAAACCCAAGCACAAAAATTTGTAAGTCTACAACGGTGCCTCACGGTGTTTCACTAATAAAAATTAAAAAAAAAAAAAGAGAATCGCCTGATCCCTTTCAGTATCTGTATTGCAAACCACAATGCCCAAAGTAGAGAGAGATTATGGGGAATATTGTCTGCCATGGAGGCAGGGGGCTTGGGTGGGAAAGGGGGGGTACTGGGGACATTGGTGGTGGGAAGTGTGCACTGGGAGAGGGATGGGTGGTTGATCGTTGTATGATTGTATCTCAAACATGAAAGCTTGTAACTGTGATCACAGTGATTCAATAAAATTGAAAAAAAAAAGCATCTCCTGATCTGGATGTACCGTAGGTCTGAGGTCACTTCGTGACACAGCGGGGTAGTGAGGTGGGAGGAGGAACCCGAGGCCCTGAGTGAGCTGGTCCAGGTGCTGGCAGAGAGGAACAGGTCACCGACATAGTCATAACGCTGACCAGTCTGGACCTGAGGAGCCTGGCCCCACCGGGCGCTTGGGCGGGGCCAGGGTCCATCGGCAGTGAGTGAGACGTGGGACTTAGAACAGTCGCCGAGCACAGCCCGCCCCGTGCTCACCGGCCGTGCCCGGCCATGCCCTCCCCCTGGACGCGCCGTTTTGGGTGAGCAGCTGGGAGGCCCGTTCTCCCGCCCCTTTCTCTCTCTGTCCTGCACTCTCACTCTGCAACCAGGACTCGTCATGTAAAGTGCTCGTACACCTCTGCCCGGGCCAGGTCTTTGGGCTGGCTGCCTAGTCCCGTCCGGCGAGGCTAAGAAACCTCTGAGCCTGTCCGCCTCCAGACCCCGCAGGGGCAACTGGGTGACAAGGTGTGGCGGGTCTGGACCCAGACTTGTCTCGGCAAGAAACGTTTTGCAGGAAAGGAGGAGCACAGGTTTCTGTCCTTCCCAGGGATGTTGGGATGATGGCGTGTGACTCCTGGCTCTGTGCTCAGGGCTGACTTCCAGCTCTGTACTCAGGGCTGGCCCCCCGGCTCTGTGCTCAGGGCTGACTCCCGTCTCTGTGCTTGGGGCTGACTCCTGGCTCTGTGCTCAGGGCTCACTCCTGGCTCTGTGCTCAGGGCTGACTCCCGGCTCTGTGCTCAGGGCTCACTCCTGGCTCTGTGCTCAGGGCTGACTCCCGGCTCTGTGCTCAGGGCTGACTCCCGGCTCTGTGCTCAGGACTCACTCCTGCCTCTGTGCTCGGGGCTCACTCCCAGCTCTGTGCTCAGGGTCACTCCCGGCAGGGCCTGGAGGACCATATCCAAGAGCTTGGTCTCTGTGCTCTCTCTGTCTGAGGTATTGATTTCCAATGAAGTTCTAACAACGCTCTCTTCAGGAGAGTCTCCCACAGTGCTCTGCCCAGGAGCACTGCACAGAGTCTTGGGTGTTGGCCTGGAATAGGACGGGGTGTGGGCTTGGTGCCTTCCCAAGACCCGATGGTCCTGTTTCCCTCGCGGGGTCGGGATTCTCTCCTCAGCGGTGCCCAGGAGCCTGAGGAAGGTGAAACCTCGGGGGGGGGGGGGGGAGGGGGCAGGCACGGCCATCTCCGAGGTCCCTGGTGTGTGGGGGGGGGAGGGGGCTGTCTGTCTCTCCCCTCGATGCCCCGGGGGGGGGGGTGGCGGGCAGGGGGCCTCACCTGTCCGCCGTCAGGTCGCCCTTCCCTGCCTTCCCCTTCCTGTGCTTCTTCCCTTTCTTCTGCTGAAAGACAGATGCCAGAGGGTCCAACACGGCAATCATACACACACACACACACACACACACACACAGCAGGTCACACACACAGGATCACACACAGTCACACAAACAGCAGAGTGACACACAGTCACACACAGTCACACTCACAGAGTCACACACCCAGCAGCAGGTCACACACACCAGAGTTACACACAACAGAGTCACACAGAGTCACACACACACAGCAGGTCACACACACAGAGTCACACACACAGCAGAGTCACACACACAGCAGCTCACACACACAGGATCACACACAGTCACACAAACAGCAGAGTGACACACAGTCACACACAGTCACACTCACAGAGTCACACACCCAGCAGCAGGTCACACACACCAGAGTTACACACAACAGAGTCACACAGAGTCACACACACACAGCAGGTCACACACACAGAGTCACACACACAGCAGAGTCACACACACAGCAGCTCACACACACAGGATCACACACAGTCACACAAACAGCAGAGTGACACACAGTCACACACAGTCACACTCACAGAGTCACACACCCAGCAGCAGGTCACACACACCAGAGTTACACACAACAGAGTCACACAGAGTCACACACACAGCAGGTCACACACAGCAGAGTCACACACACACACACAGAGTCACACAGAGTCACACACACAGCAGGTCACACACGCAGGGCGACCAGCCCTCGGGATCAACCCGGTGCAGGGCTCTGGGGCAGGCCAGAGGCGGGTGGACAGTCGGAGACCTCGCGGGGGGACGCTGGCCCAGTGCTCTGTGGAGCCGTGTTTGGGCTGCAGCCCAGGTGCCTGTGGGCTGAGGGCCTGGCGTGGAGCACTGTGTGCTGAGCTGTGCGGGGCGCCCGTTCCTCAGACCGGAGGGCGCAGCCCCTGCCAGGGGGAGCTCAGCTGCTGGGGACTGGACAGTGAACCGCTAAGAGAAGGCCGCCGGGGGAGAGGCCGATTCCGGGTGAGTGGGGACGGGTGAGCAGGCGCGGCCGAGTCCGGCCACAGCCCAGAGTCACCCGTGGGCACAGGGAGTGGGCCCAGGGGGCAGTGGCCGGTGGGCAGGAGATCAGAGTCGGGGGGGGAACTCGAGTGACCCCTTGCCCCCTCACCCCTACACACATGCACTCTCCTTCCCCCCCTTCCACATTTTTATTGAAGCGCCGTGACTTAGAGTGCTCATGGTGGGGTCAGATGGAGGAAACGCAGTGTCCGTGCCCTCCCTGACGTGGCCAGTCCTGCCCTCCCAACCCCGCTGCCCTGACGGCCCCTCCCCCAGTCTGGCCACCCGCGTTGGTCTCCTGGTCAGTGCCGGCACCCGTGAACACGCCTCCCCGTCAGGAGGCCCGGGGTAGCGACACTCGACCTCATGAACCTACCGGCCCGTCCCGCCTTCTCTGCGCCCCGTCACCTGCTTTATTTGTCTGCGTGCTGTAAACAGAAGACTTTGTTTCACCCTTTCTTTTGCAAAGGAAGATTTACAAAGCAATTCGCCTTTAGACGTTCCCAGGCGTGTTTAAGAGCTGGCCCTTTTCTTCCACATTTCCATCTGGGATATTTTTCCTTCTGCAGACAGATTATGCTTTTCAAAGTTTTTTTTTTATGGGCCTGCTGGCATTAAAAAACGTATCATATTTTTGTCTGCGTCTGAGACCACCTATATTTCATCTTCAGGTTTACGGACATCCGGGGTGTGTAGAATTCCAGGTCATCATGACATTTTTCCAGTCTCCGAAGACGTCACTCATTGCCTCCAGCCTCTAGGGCTCCGTGGAAAAGTCTAGAATGTTCTCGTGTCCTGTCCCTGGGTTACTGCCCCGGAGAGTGGCCTGTGGACACTGGCCTTTCACTGACGCCAGCACTCAGCTGCAGACGTGGCCCAGCCTCCTGCCTGCAGACACAGTTCTCTCTGTGCTCGTCCCCCCTCACCTCGGGGCTCCTGGCGCTACTCGGTCTGTGCTCTTAGCACGTCATCAGACCTGGAAACCTCCCAAACATCATTATTTTCCACATCCTGCTTCTGGACGATTCCTCCTTGGGGTGTTGCAAGCAAACCTACATCACAGCGTTCCCCTGAGCCTCGATGCCTGGACCCCTCGGTCCCCATCCACGCACACCGGGATTTCTGGAAGCTTCTTCTGATCCCAACCAGTCCTCTTCAACGTCCAGGCTGTCGTCAAACTCGCCAGCTCTCGATTAAAAACTTCTTTTCAGATCTAGAATGTTTATTTGTCTCTTTTTAAAATAGATTCTAGGTTTCTGCTGAAAATTGACTTCCTTTCCACGGATATATGTGAGAACGCTGGACAACGGAGAAAATATGCCAGCTGAGAATTCTACCCACGGGCAGATTCCCAGCTCTCCGGGGGTTTCCGCGTCCTCCAAAGGCCCGGACATGAGGCCCAGCGAGTCCCTGTGCGCAGGGTGAGCCGAGAGTCCTGCCATACAGATGGACAATAAGGACGGTTCATTGTCCGGTTTCTGAATTTTGATCTCCAAACAACAAGAAACAGTGGGCCGGAGGGCCGTGTAAGCGGGCTTGCTCACCACAGACCCACAGCTGCTAGCAGAACCGGGCCCACTCCGAAACCTGACCCACTGAGCCGAGGAGTGAAGCAGCTGCTGGGGGCCGCACTGAACCCCGAGGCATCGCCAGCCTGGACAACCCCCCCCCCCCCCCGCCATGTCCCTCATGAGACAGCCACGCGCTCCCTGCTCTCACAGTCCCTCTGTAGAGCCGGGACTGACCAGTGTGGGTGATGCCAACCCACGAGAAATCACCAGGACGGTAGCATGCAGAATCCAAAGGCACAGAGGGGAGCCTGCCGGGCGCAAGGCTCGAACCCGCGCCTGGGAGAGGAGAAACGGTGAGGCTGGGTGTTGGGGAAGCCACGGGAAGCAGGAGGGGACGGCGGGAGGGAGGGAGGCTTGGGTGTGGGGGACAGCGGACGCCGGAGTGTGTGGGAAGGAGCGAAACTCAGGGGGAGGACGATGAGGGCGTGGGCACGGCCTGGATGGGCACAGCCACCTCTGTCCTTCAGTGACCGGGGGCCGCAGCAGGCTTTGGGCACGGAGCGACAAGATCAGGCTGGCCTTGGCCAGTACCGCTCAGTGCCCGCAGGAGACTGGCCGCATCTCATTCTCTCTAGACGCTGCAGCGTGTCCATCAGAGCCCAGCGCGTGTCCATCCAGAGCCCAGTGTGTGCGCAATGCTGAGTGTCCAACCCCAAGCCCAGCGAGTGGGCATGCTGAGTGTCCATCAGAGCCCAGAGCATGGCCATGCTGAGTGTCCATTCAGAGCCCAGCGCGTGGGCAATGCTGCGTGCCCGCCCAGAGCCCAGGCCTGCCCAGCCCTCTCCGGGCCACGCGTCACTTCCCTCTTGCTCACAATCTTCCTCCGGGTCAGGAGCCGTCGCCACTTCAGTCCCTGGACCACGTTGGGGTGACCGGCGTCTCCCACACTCCCACCAAGGTCACCCTGCTGGAATTCGGGGTTCTCCACAGCCACAGTGACCACCAGGCCACCAGGGCACCCTGAGCTCGGCCACCGTGTGTCCAGCCATCTCTGCTCGAGAGGGACGTTGGCAGCCCCCGCTGTGGCATGGGGAGGTGGACACTGGACACGGATGTGAGAGGGGGCGGCCGAGGAGGAGGGCGAGGATGTTCAGTGTGATCGGGGGACACTCCTGTGCCGTGTCCACTGGCCGGCACAACCCCCTGACGGCACTCAGGCTGGGTTTGGCTTGACACTGGGCGTGGCCGCTAAACCCACACCTCCGTCTGCTCGTAGGCAGCAGACTCAGCCGGTGCCTTCACCGACTGGGGAGTGTCACCTCCACACGCTGCGCTCAGGGGACAGGCACGTCCCCAACGGAGAGGCACGGGGGTCGCAGCCTCAGGCTGCCCGCCTTGGGTCGAGGAGCTGTGAGCTACGGCACTGGCCAGCCTGGTGCAAGGTGCCAGTGCGAGAAAGACCAGGGATGGCCGGCCACCACATGGTCTGCTCACCCTGAACCCCCAGGAAGCATCAGTGACCAGACACGGGCCCCCAGGAAGCATCAGTGACCAGAAGGGTCCCCAGAAAGTGTCACCGGCCAAGCAGTGTGCCCCGAGCCAGCACCCCAGGGTCCCCAGTTCAGAGCTTGGGCCATTCTGGGCCCAGGCGGGCTGTCTTGGGGGCAGAGGACACGGGCCTTGTAAGTCAGCCTGAGTGTGGGACGGAGGGGAGAGGGCTGGTGGACACCGTCCAGCCTCTGACCACCACTTCCCCACCCAGGCCATTGGCTGCCCAGAGCGACCCAGCGGGGAGCTGTCCAGAGAGCGGGCAGCCGGTCACTGCCTACCCGCTGGCTTGGGAGGGGACCGCAGTGGGGGGCCGGGCAGACTGTTAGGGTCGGCCACACCTTGGGCCCTCGGTGGGCAGGCCCGGCCAGCAGGGGCCGAGCTCTCTGTGCCGTCCACGCCCATGTCCACCCGCGCCCCTGCCCAGCGTCCACTCACGGCCTTGCCTCCTTTCCTCTTCCCTCCCCTGGGTGGAATCTCCTTCTCCTTGTTCACTGCGAGTCGCAAGTTCTTCAGTTCCTGCCGCATCAGCTCGTCCACCTAGGGGGGAGGGCGGCAGAGGACCCTCGGGGACCCGCCCCCGGCCTCTCCTCCTGAGGCGGGGAGAGCGCCCACGCTGCAGGCGACAGCGGGTGCGAGTGTGTGTGTGTGAGTGTGTGTCTGCAAGCGAGTCACTGTGTGAGTATATGAGCGTGCAACTGTGTGCAAGTATGAGTCTAAGGATGTGAGTGTGTGTGTATGTGTGGATGCATGTGAGTGTGTGTATGCATGAGTATATATGCGAGCGTATGGATGTGTGCGTGTGAGAGTGTGAGTGTGTGTATATGCGCGTATGTATGTGTACATGTAAGCATATGTATGTGTGTGAGTGTGTATGTGTTTATATGTGCACGCGATGGTGTGTATGTGTGTACATGTATGAGTGTGAGTGTGTGCGTGCATGTGTGTGTCAGTGTGTGTATGTGTGCATGTTGTATGTGTCTGTATGTGTTTGCATGTGTATGTGTGTGCGTGTGTATGTGGATGTATGCATGTGTGTATATGTAAGTGTGTGTGCGTGCATGTGAGTGTGTGTGAGTGTGTATGTGAATGTATGTGTGTGTGCGTGTGTATGTGTGCATGTTATGTGTGTGTATGTGAATGTATGTATGTGTGCGTGTGTATGAGTGTGCATGTGTGTATATGTGTATATATATAAGTGTGAGTGTGTATGTGTGCATGTGTGTGAGTGTGTGCGTGAATGTGTGTGTGCATGTGTGAGTGTGTATGAGAATGTATGTGTGTGTGTGTGCATGTGCGTGTGTGTGAGTGTGCGTGTGTGTGAGTGTGCGTGTGTGTATGTGTGCATGTTATGTGTGTGTATGTGAGTGTATGTATGTGTGCGTGTGCATGTGTGTATGTGTGTATATATAAGTGTGAGTGTGTATGTGTGCATGTGTGTGAGTGTGTGTGTGAATGTGTGCGTGAATGTGTGTGTATGTGAATGTATGTGGGTGTGTGTGCATGTGCGTGTGTGTGAGTGTGCGTGTGTGTATGTGTGCATGTTATGTGTGTGTATGTGAGTGTGCATGTGTGTATATATAAGTGTGAATGTGTATGTGTGCATGTGTGTATGTGTGCATGTGTGTGAGTGTGTGCGTGTATGTGTGTGCATGTGTGAGTGCACGCGTGTGTGAGTGTGCGTGTGTGAGTGTGCGTGTGTGCGCGCGCGCGCAGGCCCCTGGGTGCTCTCACCTGCACCCTGATCTCGGCCTCTATCTCCCTGCGTTTCTCCTCCTTGATCATTTCCGCGTCGTAGCCCTGGAGGAAGTTTCCCGACTCGTCTTTATCCTTCCACTTGTCTGTCAGCGGGGGGAGAGGGGGAAACGGTTTGTGCCGCGTGGCCGGCGAGCGAGTCGGATTCGCTTTGGGTGTGGGCGCCGAGAGCAGGTCGAGTCTGCTTGGGCCACGGGGCAGGAGAGCGTCCAGCCGGTCTGCAGGACCGTGGACGCGTCGGGGAGGTCAGGCCAGGCCCGGGGCTGGGACGCAGCGTTTGCCTCATGTTACCTCTGTTTCTAGGAAGAGCCACTCGGCCCCTGGGACGCCAGCCCAGGTGCTCGGGGTGGGCCGAGGCGTGGAGCCTGCTCTGACCCCCTGAGCCACCCCACGCCCCTCCAGGACGGTTGCTGTGCCGGGCTGAGCCACGGCGGGGAGGTCCACGCCGAGGTGACCCTGAGCCCCACAGCCATTGGGAACGAGGGTTTGGGTGTCTGACTCGCGCCCCTTCCTCGTGGCCTGCAGGGCTGAGAGAGACATGGTCGAGGGCCAGCGAGGACGTTCTCTGCCGGGAGCTGGTGGGCACAGGCATTTCCTTGAAGGGGCACCCAGGGGTACGAGGGCCTGTGTGTTTGGTGCGGGGTCTCTCCGGGATTGGGCTCCAGCACGGGTTGGCACAAAGGCGGGTCCCTGGTCCGACCTGTCTGTCCAAAGGGAAGGCCTCGAGGGCGCTGCCCTTCAACTGGGGGTCCCTGGGGTACGGGGGGCCCCGGCAGAGGTGAGAACAGGGCCATGGGGCTGGTGGTCTCACAGGGGAGGCGTTCTTGCCCTGGGCGAGGAATGAGCTCGGCAAAGGGACTGAGCCTGTCCCTCCTGCCCTGTCTGCCGCTCTCCTTGTCTCTGTCCCCTGTTCCCTGTCCCCCGTCTCCTGCCCCCGATCTCATCTTCCTGTCCCTCTGAACAGACACCCAGGGCTGTGTCAGGAGTCTCCCGGCACCCCCGATGTGGGCCGCCCTTCACTCCGGGGCCAACACAGGCAAGGCGACTTCGCATCAGGGACGTGAAAAGCAGGGATGGGGGGGGTGACAGCACCCGGGCTGGGGAGGCAGTGTCGCGCGGGTGGAGGGCGCGGGGGTGGGAGGGGAGCTTCATCCCGGCGATTAACACTAATGCCCGGTTGGAAAGGAAAAACCTCTGAGTTTCATTTTGTATTTGGTTTTTCTTTTTGGGTCACACCTGGCGATGCACAGCGGTTCCTCCTGGCTCTGCACTCAGGAATGACTCCTGGTGGTGCTCGGGGGACCCTATGGGATGCTGGGAATCGAACCCGGGTCGGCTGCGTGCAAGGCAAACGCCCTCCCCTCTGGGCTATCGCTCCAGCCCCAGACAACCTCTGAGTTTCAAAGAAAAGCCAAGACCTGCCGTTTCTTGGAGTAACCCACGAACTGGAGCAGGAGGCTGAGGGCAGGGCAGCGGCCAGCAAAGTGGACCTCGGCCACCTCTGGGGGCTGCTCAGCTAGAATGGGGGTCAGGGGGCCTTTGGCTTCCCCGGGCTGTTCTCTGGTGCTTCCACCTGGCAGAGCCCGAGCCTCAGTGTCTGTCCACGGCCTCGGTGGGCCCCTCCCGGGCATGGGTGGGGCTGTGCTGGCCCAGGGCCGAGGACCTGAGATCCCTCCCCTCGCGGTGCTCAGAGGACCCTCTGGGCGCTCTGGGGGTGCAGGAGTGGGGGTCTCCCCAGGCACTGCAAGCCCCTCCCCTCTGCCGTCTCCCTCGGTTCTCAGCCCTGAATTCGTTAATTCACGAGTCGGCCGAACTGATCAGGGAGCAGGGAAGGACCCAAGGAGAACCCGGGGCCTGGGCTCCCTCTGGGGAGACAGACGACCAGACCGGCGAGCTCGGATGGAGGGAAGGAAGGGGGAGGGGCGCCACCACCCTGCCGCAGGGACAAGCATTCCAGGCACTGGAACAGCGTGCCAAGGGCCCGAGGCCGAGGGAGCAGCGCTCGGAGAGAGAGAGGCGTGAAGTGGGGCCGCGTCCAGCCCACGAGGCTATGTCCCCTCCCAGGGCTCTGTACTCGCCGGGCTGCTCCCTGGGCTGGCGTGTTCAATTCTGTGCTGATTCATCTGGCTTTGGGGCCGGACCTGGCGGGGCTCCCAGGGTGCTCGGGGCTACAGGGGACGTCAGGGACCCAGCCCATGGCAGCCACGTACAGAGCAGACACGCTGTTGCTGTGTCACTGCCCTGGCCCTGGGTGCTGCTGTTTGTAGGGACTCCGCAGCGGCTCTGATCCAGCAGGTCGGGGACGGCTGCGCCGGGCAGGGCTGGGTGGGGCTGACCCTCACGGCAGGCAGTGCTGACCCCGGGGCCTCGTCCTCACTGGTCCTTCCCCACCTCTCTTTCTCCTCAGACACGCAGGGCTGCCTCCCTGGGGCTGTGCGCCGAGTGAGTGCAGGGGTGTGTGAATTTGTGTGTGTGGATTTGTGTGTGTGAATCTGGGTGTGTGTGAATTTGTGTGTGTGAATCTGGGTGTGTGTGAATTTGTGTGTGTGAATTTGTGTGTGTGGATTTGTGTGTGTGAATCTGGGTGTGTGTGAATTTGTGTGTGTGAATTTGTGTGTGTGGATTTGTGTGTGTGGATTTGTGTGTGTGAATCTGGGTGTGTATGAATTTGTGTGTGTGAATCTGGGTGTGTGTGAATTTGTGTGTGTGAATTTGTGTGTGTGGATTTGTGTGTGTGAATTTGTGTGTGTGAATCTGGGTGTGTGTGAATTTGTGTGTGTGAATTTGTGTGTGTGAATTTGTGTGTGTGGATTTGTGTGTGTGAATCTGGGTGTGTGTGAATTTGGTGTGTGGGTGTGCTGAGGCTGTATGTCCGTGTGTGGGTGAAGTGTGTGTCTGTGGGTTCAGGTTTGCTGTACCTGCACCCCTCACCCCCCGGCAGCTCTGACTCCAGCCCTACTGGGGACCCACATCCACAGAGACGCCTCCTATGGGACAGCCCCACCCACAGCCTTAGGACACCCACAGAGCCCGTGGGACACCCTCACTCACAGCCTGAGGATGTTCCCCCCCCCCCCACCGCCCCACATACCACTGGACTCTCAGTGGAGCCTGCGGCCTGCCCCAGGGCTGTCTCCTTGGGCACCCACAGGCGCTGTGCCTGTGTGACCGTCATACTGTGGCCACGGCTGGGCTCACAGTCCACCTTCTCCATCTGGGCCCTGCACACGGCCCTGCCCTCACCGACCTTTTGTCCTGCTGTCCCTCTGGCTGTGCGTGTGGCCACCCGCCCTCCCTCCCTCTGCTCTGGGACTAGCCCCCTCCTCTGTCTCCAGCAGGGAGACACGAAGCTGAGGTCTCGGGGCTCCCCGGGGGACCAGGCTGTGGCCCCCGCTGCCTTTTGCTTCCTTGTCATCTGAGCTTCCCGTCGGAGGGGCCAGGGGACCACGTCCATCCCCCAGCGGGCGGCAAGGCGGGCCAGGCCCCGGCACCCACCTTTGTACAGGGTGTTTCCTTCCTGAATGGAGGAGAGGAAGCCACTGGGGGCCATCTTCCAGCCCGCGTCTTCTTCCTGGGGGGCAGACAAGGAGCTGGGGCCGCGTGGGGACACCGGGCACCCCGGGGTGGAAGGTTCCAGAGACGAGACAGCCGCCCGCCCGCTCCCATGCCTGTCCCTGCGCCCTCCCCCGAGTGTGGGCCCCTTGCCTTTCCCGAGAGCGGATCCCCATGGGCCCAGCGCCCTCTGTGCCGGTCCTGGCCTGGCTGTGGGGCCGCCCATGGGGCGGTCCCATGGGCTTGGGCCCTGGGTCAGCAGGAGTCCCCCGGCTGCCGTCTCCAGCCCCTACACGGCGCCTCTAGCCCCGCGTGTTTCGGGCGTCGATTCTCTTTCCTCGGCGTCGCGAGGAATTTTCCTTCCTCATCAGCCACTGCCTAAAGGTGCCAGGACTCAAAAACGCTGCTTTTGGCCCAAAGTGGCTCTTCACCCAGCCTTGCCGGGCAGCTGGTGGCTAAGACTCTTTCGCAGTGGGGGGGGTGGCCTCTCCTGCAGAAGGGGGCTGGGGGGGGGGGTCCTCTCCCGCAGTGGCCAGATGCTCAGGCACATGCAGGTAAGATGCCGAGAGTTGAACCACAAATCTCGTGTCCCCTGGCCCTGCCCCAGACTGACCTGGAGTGACAGGGGCGTCAAACCAGCATGCATGCAGTGGGCTGTCTTTCGGGGGGGGGAGGGGCACATGTTGGCATTTGGGGGGTGTCAGCAGAACTGCAGCGTTAACGCTGTCTTCCTCACGGGCTCCTTGGAACGCCCCCGATGGGGACCTGTGACACAGGTTATGGGACAGCCCAGGCCGGGGAGGGGTGAGGGGTGGGCAGAGGGGGAGAGGGGAGCCCCGGGAGGGGCAGGGTGGGGCGCCACAGGCTGGGCTGAAAGATCCCCAATGTCCCGGTGGCTTTGACCAATTGCCCGCCAGTGCCCAAGGACGGAGCGTGAGCCCCGGGCCCTGTGACACCCCTCCCGCACCCCCGCTTCAAAACAACCCCCCCCAAAGAGGAAGTGAATGCGTCACCTTCGATTTTTCCCTTAAGTCATTCTTTTCCTCTTTCCGGGTTTTCTTGGGTTTCTTTTCCTTTTCCTTTTTCTTCTGTTTCTTTTTCTTTTCGTCTTCTTCTTGGCTGGCAATAATATCGTCGATGACCTGATGAAATAAAACCAGCACGGCACCGTGAATAGCCTCAGTCTGCAAGGCCCGCTTCCGGTCTGGGAGGAAGAGCGTGTGGTCAGCAGGAACTATTTCCTGTCTGGGAGGAAGTGAGGATGTGGCTCAGGGCCCCTCTGACCCTCAGGGGCCATGGTTGGGGTTTCCCACTGCCATCTGCATTTGGCTGGACTGGTCAGTGGGCAGAGTCCAGTGACTTGGCCAAGGACACAGAGCTCGGAAGGGTCCAGCTGGGAGTGGGCATGTGACCACCCCCAGTCCCGGTAGGCAACAGCACCAGACGCAGCCCTTGGTCCTTTTCAAAAAGCAACATTAATCTAGTTTTAATGTTTTGGACTTGGGGCTACACCTGGCTTCACTCCCGGAGACGCCCAGCCCGCCCTCTGCGGGCCAGAACCCAACGGGGCTCAAAGCAGGTGCCTTCACTCCCGTACTATTTTTCTGGCCCTCGATGCATTTTATTTTTAAAAACCAAGGCTGACAAAATCCGGAAACAACCCGAGTACCCCAGAACAGAAGACTGGTTGAAGAAACTTTGGTCCATCTACACAATGGAATACTATGCAGCCGTGAGGAAAGATGAAGTCATGACATTTGCTTATAAGTGGATGGCCACGGAGAGTTTCGTGCTGAGTGAAGTGAGTCCGAAAGAGAGGGGCAGAGAATGAACGCACTCATCTGTGGGATATAAAAAATCATAGTATGAGACTACCACCCAAGGACAGTGGAGACAAGGGCCAGGAGGATTGGTCCATGGTTGGAAACCAGCTTCAAGGGCTGGGAGAAAAGACAACTGGGATAGAGAAGGGACCAATATGGCAATGATGGTTGGAGGGATTGCTCGCTCGGGATGGGAGATGAGTGCGGAAAGTGGGTGAAGGACCAACCAAACAGGATGGCCTCTCGGGGTCTGTATTGCAAACCATCATGCCCAAAGGAGAGAGGTAGAGATGGAGGGAGAGACAGAGAGAGAAAGAGAGAGGGAGAGAGGGAGGGAGAGCGAGAGAGGGTGAAGGAGAGTGTCTCCCACAGAGACAGGCTGGGAGAGGGTGGTGGGAGGGACCCTGGGCACATTGGCGGTGGGGAATGTGCCCTGGTGGAGGGACGGGCATTGGAACACTGTATGGCTGAAACCCAACCATGAACAGCTTTGTAATTCTGCATCTTATGGTGATTTAATTTTTTTAAAAAAGGAGTCTGAATCCATTGTCATTTTGTTTGGGCTTCTAAGGTCACACCTAGCGCTGCTCGGGGCTTACTCCTGGCAGGCTTCGGGGACCAAGGAGATACCAGAGGTCACACTGGGTCTGGGTGTGCCAGGCCAGCGCGTCACCTGCGGGACTATCTGTCCAGTCCCGAGGCTGGACTCACTGTCCCTGCTCTTCAAGCCCAGCCCAAGTTCCACCAGGCACCAGAAACGCACATCACTTGGCCCTGGTGGTGGGTGGGCGGGGGTGGGGGGTCTGCCTCTCCCCCTCTCTCTCCCTCCCTCCCTGTCTCCTCTCCCTTTCTCTCCCTCTCTCTCTCTCTCTCTCCATCCCTCCCCCCTTCACTTTTGGGGATTATGCTTTCCAGTACTGAGAGGTCATCGTATATACCTTAGCACCCAGATCGTGTCCAGAGTGACCGTTTCCCACTATCACTGTCTCAGTGGTCCCTTCTCTGTCCCAACTGCCCTCCCCGACCCCACTTGTGGCAGCTTCTAACCACGCTCACTTCTACTGTCTTTGGGAGTCAGTCTCATATGACGTTTCTTTTCCCCAGTAAATCCTGCAAACGATGCAGCTGTGATCCCACAGACGCCGAGCTCCTATCTGCATGTGATTCCAGCACTTAGAAATTCCCCGAGAGGAGTGCTGGCTGGCTCGCCGTGTGCTGAGAGGATCCCCTTCCTCCGAGAAGAGCCGCACACCCGAGCCTGCTCCCGTCCTTCCCTGCCCCCCACTGCGCCTCTGTCCCCCCGAAACGCTGGCCTTCCCCAACAACTCCCACGCGAGCTTCCCCCAGCAAGGCCTGGGGCATCCACGCAGGCTGGACGCAGGAACCTGTCACGGGTGTCCATCCCACTGCCCGGAGCTCGCGGCCCCAGCTCGCCAGCGGACGAGGCGTCTGGGCGCCCCAGACCCAGCTCGCAGGGGAAATGCCATCAATGTTCACACACGCTTCAAAAAAAAAATTCTGAACATTTTCATTTCTCTTGACAACAGGACCCTCAAGGATGACGTCTGGGTCATTTGTTCAGTCAAGATTCCACATGGACCTACAGATTTTTGTGCTTGGGTCTCAGTCTACAACTGTACCTCGTGGTGTTTCACTAATAAAAATTTTTAAAAAATTAGATGTTTTGCAAACCAATAATAAATAAATATACTTTTATTTTTTTCCATTAGAAAAAACACCAATTGGAAAGTTTCTCCCACCAGCCGCTCAGCTGCCCCCGTTCATCGGTGAGAGGCTTTGTTCTAGCCTCTTGCCCGTGTTCTTTTTTTTAAGAAAATGCAGGGCTGGAGCGATAGCACAGCGGGTAGGGCGTCTGCCTTGCAGGCAGCCAACATGGCCGACCCGAGTTCGATTCCTCCGCCCCTCTCGGAGAGCCCGGCAAGCTACCGAGAGTATTCCATATGCCAGACACAGTAACACAAAGTCCCCAATGGAGACGTTACTGGGCCCGCTCGAGCAAATCGACGATCAACGGGAGGGCCTTTACCTTTACCTTTACCTTGCCCGTGTGGGGACTGGGCCACTTTGTCTTCGTACTGAGACGAGAGAATTCTCAGTGTTTCAGGAGACAAGTATTTATCCTAGCTGTTGTTCGAGCCTTTGCATTTTCTTTTTTCTTTTATTTCCTGCTTTTTGGGTCATACCTGGTGATGCTCAGGGGTTACTCCTGGCTCTGCACTCAGGAATGACTCCTGGCGGTGCTCGGGGAACCATATGGGATGCTGGGACTCGAACCCGGGTCGGCCGCGCACAAGGCAAACACCCTCCCCGCTGTGCTATGGCCCCAGCCCTGCATTTTCTTAAGAAAAAGAACCCCTGTAACTGTCTCCCCAGCCATCCTCGGCGTGTCCCACCTGCTGCGGGGTCTTGTTGGAGAAAATCACTGCCGACCCTCCTTCCTCTGCGTCAGGATAGTCGGGAAACGTGCCTGTGAGGTTCCTGTGGGGACAGAGCAGGAGGGTGAGCTCGGGACTGTGCCTGGGGGACGGGACGGGGACAAGGGCAAGGACCCTCCCGGGGGACCCAAGGGGTGGGGACCCCACTGTCCTCACCCCTCGGGGCCTGTCCTTCTCCGAGTCGGCAATGGGGGACATGTGACCTCACCCTCTGCTGCCTCATGCAAGGGTCATTCTGGACCTTTAATAACCACGGGCCGGAGCTTCCCCTCGGGGAAACCGTCTGAGATGGTCCCTTGGTGACATTTGCACCAGTGGGTGGCTGTGGACAGGGGCGTGCTAGACCCACCTGACCACAGCCGCTGAGGGGCCTGGGGCCCCACCTGGCACCCCCTGCCTGGACCACCTCACTGGGCCATGGATCCCGGGTCCTGTCCCACTGGGGGTGACGCCCTCCTGCCTTCCTCGAGGGCGGGTCACCTGGGCACCAAGCGGAGTTAGTCGTGTCGTGGCCAGTGGGGCTGGCCCTTGGCTATGAGCACCTGCCTCTCGTGTCTGAGGAGCCCGGCAGGTGCCCGGGGAGGACCGATGCATCTGTCCACGCGTCTCTCCCCAGTGGTCCTCCTCGTGGGAGCCCCCATTCTCCCACGCCACGGGGGAAACGTGAAAATGCAGGTGTCGAGGAGCGTGGACGTGGGAACCAGTGCGTCCAGTCGGTCAGTGTAAGTCCCGCCCATGGAGAAGGCGTCCCACCATATAAGGTCTCCGACGGGGCCCGGACGGCTGCGGTGGGAGACGGCAGCCGGGAGAGACGCCCCCCACCCCCCGCCACACTCCCCTTTCTCTCCACAGACCCGGCAACACGGAGACAGGCCGCAGGGTCACAGGGTGGGCGGCAGGCCCAGGCCGGGGGTAGGAGGGGGCTCAGAGCCCGGACTCGGGGACAGTGACAGGCACATCACAGGGGTCTCGCCCGTGCTTGAGGGGGACCCTTGGTATAGCCCGAGAGGGGCCCGGCAGAGACTGAACAGAGGATGCGCAGGGACGAGGCCGGCCACCGTGCACCGGGGCTCCCAGCAGCAAGGACAGAACGTGAGGCGCCGTACACGGGGCAGGACAGAGAGGAGAGCCCTGGACACAGGGGAGGGGACCTGCAGACGCATCTCCCAACCGTCCTGACCTCTGACGTCTTTGCCTCTGGGCGCTGCCAGCCAAGGTTCAGCACATCCCAAGAGGCCCCAGTGTGGGAAAATCCACTTTTGCAGTAACAATCAACGTCTGCAAAGATGGGCCTGGGCTTCCGGGAAGAACTCGGGCCCCTCGAACCCTGGACGCCAGCTGGGGGGGTCGCAGGGCATCCGCCCTCCCTGTCACAGCCACTCACTGTAGAGAACCGCGGACAGTGCATTCCTTCCCCCCATGCTGTCATGTCTGCCGTATCCACACATGCATGTGCACACACACACACCCACACACACATTCAGGCACACACACGCACACACCAAGTCGCACACACAGACTCACACATACACCCCTACACACTCATGCACACCCCCTCACACATGCACATACACTTCACACACACAATCGTGCACACAGACTCACACAAAAACGCACACATGACACACACACACTCACACTCACACACACACAGAGTCATTTCCCCCAACAAACAGGCCCACGGGCAGGAGTCCTTGCGGCGGTACAGAGACATTTGGATGCTCTTCCTCCTGGTGGTAGCCAAAACCGTCCAAACACCAGGCGATGCCCGTGGGGCAAGGGGGACTGGGCCAGGCCCTTCTGCTACGTCTGCCAGCTTCTGGGCCCAACCCCCTGGCCCTACCTGGTCACTTCCGGCACCAAATCAATCCCACGTCGGGGAGTAAATTGAGCTTGCACAGACCCAGGCGGCCTGGCCGAGCAGCACGGATAAGGGCAGATGTTCAGGGCCGGGCGGGCAGGAGGTGGCCGGGGTGACAGGGGCCCAAGTCTGTGTCCTCACACGGCGCGGCTACCTGACCCCACCTGAGAGACCCAGAGGGGCGGCGGGAAGGAGCCCCAGGCCCTTTGCTCTGTCGTCCCTGTTTGGCCCGATGGGAATGAGGTTTGCAGTTAAAGCGATCAATAAATAAACTCCATATATGATTGGTCCGAGTGTCCTATCAATCTTATTTGTATAGTGAAAGCCATGAAATTTACTTGAAATTTACCTTTTTTTTTTCTTCTTTTTGGGTCACACCCAGCGATGCTTGGGGTGACTCCTGGGTCATGCACTCAGGAATCACTCCTGGCGGTGCTCGGGGGACCCTGTGGGATGCTGGGAATCGAACGCGGGTCGGCCATGTGCAAAGCAAACACCCTCCCTGCTGTGCTGTCGCTCCAGCCCCAAAATTTACCTTTTTTAAATTTTTAAAATTTTTTAAATTTAATTTATTTTTTGCTTTTTTTTGGGGGGGGGATCACACCCAGCGATGCTCAGGGGTTACTCCTGGCTCATGCACTCAGGAATCACTCCTGGTGGTGCTCGGGGGACCATATGGGATGCTGGGAATCGAACCCGGGTCACCTGCATGCAAGGCAAATGCCCTACCCGCTGTGCTATTGCTCCAGCCCCGTACCTTTTTTTTCTTTTTAAAGGTAAATTTGCTCAGGGCTTCCTCCTGGCTCTGCACTCAGGGGTCCACCCCTGGCGGGGGGAGGGGCCATACGGAGTGCCGGGGATTGAGCCCGGGTCGGCCGCGTGCAAGGCCAACGCCTTATCTGCTGCAATACTGTTCCGGCCCCTTTCCCTTGAGGAGGCGGGCAGACAAGCAGGGCGACCCGTGTCCAGCTGGGGGACACTCCCACCCGCGGCCTGTCCTGGGGCGTCCCCATGCAGATCCGGCCAGAGCGGCGACACTTTCCTCTCCTTTCCTCTGTTTGCTCTTAATTTATCACACGCGACATTTATTTCCCGCGGTGCGTGGCAGGCGCAGGGTGCTCGGATTTGTTTCTCTGATCTATGCTGGTGCTTCTGGGTCAGGATAATGCATGGACCGCATTTATTTATTTATTTTTTATAATATTCCCGAACACGCAAGGGCCATTTGTCCTTCCTATTTTCCTTATCTTCTAAGTTTAATCCTAATGACTTTAATAATTACGTTTCCAAGTCCGATAAATAATCCTGTTGGGAGTTTAATTGAAACCGCGTCATCTCTATAAATTACACGGCAGACACGTCCTTTTCCCACTTAACCAGAAACACAACGCTTCTCCCACCCTCCTCCTCCTCCTCCTCCTCTTCCTCCTCCTCCTCCTCCCCCTCCTCCTCCCCCCTCCCCCTCCCCCTCCTCCTCCTCCTCCTCACATTTGGTCCGTCGTTGATGAATAAAAAAGTACTCGGGGCCATTCTCTGAGTATCTCACCCTCACTTCCTTGCTCTCGTGCAGGGTGTTTGCCTTGCGTGCAGCCGAACCGGGTTCGATTCCCAGCATCCCATGTCGTCCCCTGAGCACCGCCAGGGGTGATTCCTGAGTGCAGAACCAGGAGGAACCACCCCAGTGCATCGCCAGGTGTGACCCAAAAAGCAAAAAAAAAATAAAATAAAATATTGTCAGATGGTATTTCTGCACGGTAGAAATGACCGGTCGGCCTTATCAATGTCCATCATATTGAATTTTTCCACCATTTGGCAATTCCCATTTCTGGAGAGAAATGCCGTGAGGGAACCCTGAACCCCTCCCTGAAATAAGGCAGAGAAGCACAAACAAGTGAGAGAGAAATACCACAGGCCACAGGGCCACGCACGCACATCCCACACTGCCGGAAGGGTCCGCACGCTCACTCCCCTTCCCAGACCCACTCAAAGGCGCAACAAAATGCACCCCAGATGTTTTCTTGCAAAGCTCAACCAGTGCCTTGCAGATCTTTGCTATTAGCCCCTATCAGCAGAGTTTGGGTGAGTAACCCTTCCCACTCTGTAGCTGTCTCTGTATCTCGGTCACCATTTCTTCTGGGGTGCACCATTTCTTCTTAGTTTAACGTGGTCCCATTTGTTTATCTTTGACTCTGCCTGCTTGGTCAGCGGCGTTTCATCTTTTTTTTTTTTTTAAATTGAATCACTGTGGGAAAAGCTACAAAGATTTCAGGTTTAAGTCTCGGCCACGCAATCATCAAACATGTTTCCCTTCACCAATACTTATTTTTCACCACCAAGAACCCCAATAAACCTCCCCTCCCAACCCTCCCAATGCCTGTGAGGCAGATGAATTCTAGTTAACACTCTATCTACTTTGATTACATTCACTGTTCCGACAAAAGATGCACCATAATTATTTAGAGTTTACACCCCCCAGTCAGACATGCTGAAAAGGCATTGTGAAATAATTTGTTTTCTACAGCTGGTCACAAGAATCAAATGATGTCGCGTGGCCGCAACAGCGGCCACATGATTTTGGATTTCTGGTATTTTACTTATTAAGCCTGGAAGTATTTCTGCTGAGAGCCAGATAATTATGAGATTGGTTTCTGTGGCTCTGGAGCCATGGCCGTGCCGGAGAGCCACTCGTGGGGGGCAACTCGTGATCTTGGGAGGGCGTGAAGGACGAGCCGGGAACAGCAGCATTTCATCTTTGAAGATACCTTTAGCTTCAATGTTGCGGAGGGTTTTGCCGACCTTTTCCTCCACGTGCCTTATGGATTCGGGTCTGCCTTCAATTGTGGCATATAAAAATATATATAGTAGAAGACTAATACCCAAGGTCAGGGAAAACAAAGGCCAGGAGGACTGGTCAGTGGCTGGAGTCTACCCGAGTGTGTGCGGGACGGAGAGTGGAGAAGATAGAGAAGGACCAGAACGACAATGATAGCGGGGAATATCGCGCTGGACAAGATCTGAGTGTTAAAAGTAGGTAAAGGGATACACACATGATAACATGTTGCGTGTGTTGCAACCACAATGCCCAAAGGGGAGGGGGGCGGGGAGAGAGAGAGAGAGACAGAGAGACAGAGACAGAGACAGAGAGAGGGAAAGACAGGCAGGCTGGAGGCAGGTGAAGGGAG